CTGATTCATCCATCCTCCCTCCAGCCCACGTGGTGCCCACTGTGTGCCAGATCGGCCTAGGTGCTGAAATAATCCTAAGTCCTATTTAGAAAGGGAGCCAGTGGGAGGACGTGCTAGAGAACAGCTGGAGGGCGGGGTGGTCACTGCAGATTGGTGGTCGCAGAAAGCCCTTCTGAGGAAGGGACACCAACACTGAGTGAGATCTGAACGAGAAATGAAGACAGCCGTGTGAGGATCTGGGGGACAGGTGGCCGAGGAGGAGGGAATAGGCAAGCGCTCACAGCTCAGTTAAGTCAACAACAACAACAACAACAACAACAACAAAACTCCAAAACAGAAAAAACGAAACATAGTACTTAGAGGCAAAGAAATTTCCTATCAGCAGATGAGAGCTCTGAGAAATTTCAGAAAGGCACAGAGCAGGTGGACTGAACTTGTGACATAGCTGATTGAGAGCAGTCTACAATTCCAGTGAAGACATCAGAGAAGGAAAGAGCTGAGTGCCCCGGACAGAAGCCTGGGCAGCAGGCCTGGAAGTGGAGGCAGTGGGTGGGCATCAGACCAGGGGCATATGGAAGCAACTCAGGAACATGGGACAGGCGCCACATGGCAGAAAGCGTTTGCTAAGTTAAGGGGGCTGTTTCCTGGCCAGCTTCTGAGATGGACACCGAGGCCAGAGGATTGTGCTTCTGCCAACTAAAGGGCAGCACGGCATGCAGAGGAAAAACATCTTGGGAACCAGGGAGACTTTAAGACTTGCCAGCTTTCTCCCCACCTTTCACTGGCTTCTGCAGATCCAATGGGTTCCCCTAAGACCCATCAGTGGAAGGAGAAGAGTGAACTTGTTGGCGAGTATCGTGGTGAAGAAACAAAGACACCAGAAACTCCATTAGGGCTTGAGCCACAGAGCAGAGCACTTGGCTGCAGGACATCACACTAGGGAGGGTGGGGATCTACCTCCCCAAGACTCCCATTGCCACCTGTCTCACTGGAAGAGAGGACCCAATCTTTTAATCTGTTCTTGGACCACATACCCAGGACCCAGAGGGGAACCGTGGCAATGGACCTATGCCCGTCTATTCATACATTCAGGTGCAGCCCTACACCTGTGTAAACTGCTCAGGGGAAAGCCTGCCAGGGAACTCTGTGAACCACACCAGGAGTTCTTACACCTGTGGTGGCCTCAGAATTGTCTGGGGTGCTTGCTCAAGATGCAGGTGGCAGTATGTGTGTATTTTTAATGAGCACCCCAGGTGATTCTGATGCACAGCATGGCTTAGAACCATTGCCGCATACCATCACTGAGTGCACCCTCACCAGCTACTGACAGAGTCCCAGGCCACGGCTGCACTGAAGACTTTTTGTATCTCCCTGAGTGTGGGGAGATTAAAAACAACAACAACAACAACAACAACAACAACAACAACAACAACAACAAACTCAGTGTCCAATTGTCCAATTGCCAGAAATTCTGAATTAATTGGCTGTGTGTGAGGGCCAGGCACTAGCAGTTTTTAGAAACTTCCAGGTGGTTCTAATGTACGGCAGGATCAAAGGCCAAGACCTTCCTTTATAAAAATGAGCAGTCTTCCAAATAGCTGGGCATATGAAAAGAATGATCTGCTTTGAGCAGGGACCAGAGGAATGAAACAAGACCAAAGATGGCGATTCTCTGATAAATAACCCCAAATGAAACTGAGTGGCAGAATAAAGAGGAGATATGGGAAAAATATAAAATATGAAAAAAAATCTGTATCTCATCTTCAGGGGGATTAAGATGATAAATACCAACAGAACAGAGCAGGCTCCTAAGAAAAGAACAGTCTAAGAAGTATGAAAAAGTGTTGGAAATGAAAAGTGTGGCTGTCAACCACCCGCCCAACACTCAGGGGGAAAAGAAAATCTCACTGACATATAAAATCACGAATGGACAGCTGCTGAAAATCAAAGCAGTGATTCTGAAGAGCAATTCAGGATATCGTATCCTTTGAATATGGAATGAAAAGACTAAAAGATGGAAAATATAAGAGATATAGCAACTCCATCCCAGAGGCCCAGAATTCCTAAAAAAGGATTTCCTGAAAAGTGAGGGTAGAATGGAAAAAAGAACAGCAATAATTTTAAAGAGAGAGAGAGAGAGAAAAAAAAAGCCTGAATTAAATAAAGAGTTAAGTTCTTGACTTAGAACAGAAGAAACTACCTAGGTCTCATCAGAAATATTAGAAAGAATATACATACCATATGCTAGTTATATTTTAAATGTTCATAGAAATATAAGTTCAAAAATGTTAGTTTAAAATATATTGAGTTAACACACCTCTGGGAAGAATGGGATTTAAAGGAGGCAAAAGTAACTTCTACTTTTTATTTTATATACTTCCATCTTATTTGTTTAAATTGATGATGTTTTTGATTAAAACATTTAAAAGGAAATGCACCTAGAATAGAAACTAGTTTTTACAAAGTTAACTATAAAATTTGATTAATAAAGTAAAAGGGAAGAGAAAAAGAAACAAGAACAAAGAATGAGATTCACGGCCAGGCGTGGTGGCTCAAGCCTGTAATCCCAGCACTTTGGGAGGCCGAGGTGGGTGGATCATGAGGTCAAGCAATCGAGACCATCCTGGTCATCATGGTGAAACTCCGTCTCTACTAAAAATACAAAAAATTAGCTGGGCATGGTGGCGCATGCCTGTAATCCCAGCTACTCAGAAGGCTGAGGCAGGAGAATTGCCTGAACCCAGGAGGCGCAGGTTGCGGTGAGCCGAGATGGCGCCATTGCACTCCAGCCTGGGTAACAAGGGTGAAACTCCGTCTCAAAATAAATAAATAAATAAATAAAAGAATGCGATTCAGAAATATGTCAGGAAAAAGATAAAATATATAATTCAAGTAAATGTGGCTGTTGTATGTCCCAATATCCAAAGCAAAACATATTGCTAGGATCTGTCTAATAGCCATGTGAAAAGGTTCTCAAGTATATTAACAAAGAAACAAAGGAGTAAAAGGAGAATTATTTTAGCCTTTTGGATTTGCAAAGATAAAAAGATTGATGATGTGTGGGATGGTAAGAATGTGGGGAAATGGACACTTTTAAGCTATGGGAATGAAAAAGATGTGTTACAGTTTTGCTCAAGAGGAATCTGGACATATGAAGTAAAATTAAAATATGCATATCATTTCTAGAAATTCTACTCCTGGAAAATTTATACTAAGGAAATAACCGAACTTGTGTACAAAGATGTTGCTGGAATCATTGTTTCTAGTGGCAGAAATGGAGGATATAACCTAAATATTTATGACCCAGGGATTGGTAAAATAAATTTTACTTCATCCATGCCAGGGGATACTATGCAGCTATTAAAAAGAGTAAGGTGGATCTATTGTTAATTTAAAAATTATTGGAATATACTATATTTATAATACATATGTATACACACACAGAACCCAATAGCCAATATACAAAAGGATAGAATATTACATATGCATAAAAATCCAAAGTAATAGAGACTAAATCAGATGTTCCCAAACTCACTGAGCTCATGGGACCCTTAGTGTCTCAGTAAGTTTTTCATAGTGTCTCTGGACCAAAAGAAATACTTAACAGTGTCATTTATTATGGCCAGAACCAATCAACTTAATATGTATTTGTATCCTGACAACTTAGTAGCTGTTTGAAAGACACATGAATTGATTTTTTTTTCATTCTTAAATAACTACGATATGCACCTATTGGGCACTACACGTTTTCTTAAATATTGGAATTAGGTTGGACCTTACCATCCCTATGTCCTATTCCATGTTAATTTTTGCACAGTACTTGTTTTTTATCATAGTGACTGCACCGAAAATTCAGATTTGCAAAGACCTGTTTCATCACAAGGGATGTAATGTGCTCTAATGTTGAAACGGAACCATCTTAAGCTAGCAGTTTATGCAGTCTCTGGCACGAGTCAACTATCCTGTTTTTCCCTAAAAAATTTGGAATATTCTGTGGTAACTCTCTGAGTTCCCCACAGTGCCCAGGGTGCCCTGGTCCACTTTGGGAACCATAGCATCAGACTAGAAACAAAGGTTCTTTGTGGAAGATGAAATTGGGTTGGAGGAAGAGAGCATTTTCTTCTTCATGCACATCTGGATAATTTGAACTTTTTAGAATGAGCATCTGTGACTTTCATTACGTTTTATAAGACTTTTTTCCTGTTCAGGGAAAGAAGCCAGAAAAGGAGGAAAAGGCAATGTGAGAGTGACAGAGACATGAAAACGGAAATAAATGCAGGGCGTGTGAAGGCACATCACACTAGCTTTGTCTGTGTGTTTTCTTCTGTCATTCTGAAAGTAGTCCAAGTCCCTCTGGGCTTTGGTTCCCCCCCTCTTAAGTAAACACACTGGCTTCCCTCATAGGGAAGGAGAAACTGGCTGGAATCACTGCTGGAAGTTACCCCAAAAGAGCAGAGTGATGAAATCATGGTTCTGGAGCCCCCTGCCTGAGTTCTAGCCCTAACTCTGCTGTACTAGCAGACCTTGACCTGGGGTAAGTTCCTTAACTCCTCTGTGCCTCCGCTTCCATACCTGCTCAATGGTGAGAATAGCAATGTTTACCTGTCAAGATTATTCAGTGAGAGACACTTACTGCAGGATGTGGCCAATGCGGAATATGTGCCAGCTATTACCATTGTTATTGCTGTCTAATAGGAAAAAAAATGGGAACAACAAATTCTTTCCTTTCACTAATCAGAACTAGGGAATGATGAGGGACTGTCCCAGTTATCGTGATGTCCAAAGGGTCAGAGAGAAGCCACAAAGGATTTGTGGCTTTGCACAAATCAAAGCTATAAGGAGGTAGAAACTGTAAGTAGAACTCAGCCAGGAGGCTACTTGAGGCATTTCTGTTCCAGCAATAAAAAAAATCAAATGAAGGTAGAATATAAAGTAATCTCATGATCTCATGGATTTTTGTCTACATCCATCCCACTCCCAAACCTTAAAACATTTTTTACCTCATCTCTATGTCCCACAAGGCAACATCATCACTGATCCAAGGGTTGGATGGCTCGGCTGGTGTTATCAAAGGGTCATATTCCGTGTATTGTTCTGTGTAGGCAATTAAGCTGCAGGAAGAAGGCAGAGCAAAGAATGCCACTGATTTCCTTTTTTTAAAAAAAAAACTATTCTATTTTACACAAACATTATAGCAGTTTTCACATAATTCTAAATTAAAGGAAAAAATTTATTTCTGCTCCCACTTCTGACACATCAAACTGTTTTCATTTGTCCTTATGTCCTTCTCATTAGGAACATACCATTTTTGCATTGTTGCAGTCATAATCTACACATGCATTTTCTATCTCTTTTCCCTAGGTAACTCTTTGCCTGAACCTTGGTGCTCCTCTCCATGGTTATGCTAGCTTTACTGATGTTAATGCACTGGTTAAACCTGCTTGTGTATTACCCTCCCACAAAGACTGGTTCTCAAGGCATCTGGATCTCACAAAAGACACGACAGCTCCACCAGATTGCCAGTTCAGCATTCCCAATTGAAGGACTTTCTTATTACAAAGATTTTTAAATACCAGCAGACCACAAGGAGTTAAGCATAAAAAAAAAAAAACCTTAATTTTTCTAGTTATAATTATGATCTAATAAATGTTGATTTAATAGATTGACATAATCTATTTTAGACTAATTTTTATCAAAATGTATGTGAATAGTTAGAATAATAAAATAGTACCAAATGATTACATATACTAAAAAAGCAAAGGAATTATTTTTCCTCCTATCCCTTCTTAAAGAGGCATCTACTTTCTACCTTGTTTTTTTCGAAAAGTTACCTATGTATTTCTAAATTATATGCTTTTATATCTATTCTAGATTTTTTTGATTTTAGACAAGAATTTAACTTTCTGTTCACCAGTCCTCAACTCCCACTTTTTCCTACACAGTCCTCCAAGTAGACTTGTATAACAATTTTTGTTAGATCAATGGTCAGTGTCTACATTATTAAACTAGAGAAAAATTGTTTGCTGTTCAGCTGAATACCATACTACTTTTTCCAAGTGTTTTAACAAACCTGCAAAACATCTAGCAATCATTTTTTTCACATCTTAAACACATCAAATAATTGAGCAGTTCTGTCCCCTTGTTTCCCAGAGATTGTCTCTCCCAAAGTCTTTAGTCTTCTTGCTCGAAACTGGATCATTTGCTCCATGGGCTTGATGCAAAATTATCATCTTGGGACTTCCTTCATTTCTGTACTGAAACCCATGTTTACTGGATTCCATGTCTATTTCGTGTTTTTACTCCCTGGTTGTGTTGAAGCACATCCTTTAGTAGTTTCCTAATAAAGGATGCATGAAAATCCTTGCAAGTCTAAAAATGCTTTTATCACCATACCTGACTAATAGTGCTAGACATAGAATACTAGATGAAAAATATTCCTGTAGAATTTTGAAGGCATCACTCCTTTTTTTTTTTTCTGGCATGCAGTGTTACTATTAAGAAGTCTGGATCCATTTTGGTTCTTATTCTTTTGTTCAGTTTCTTTTCTCTCTGTCAACTTAGAATCGTCTCTTTATTGCTAGAGTGGTCTGAAATTTCATGATGGCCCTTGCTGGTTGTTTTTATTCATTATGCTGGGCACAGTGTGCAACAGATAAGAAAATATTTATCAGGAATTTTATAGTATTTCATCACTAACTTTATACCCTTCATTTCTTTTGTTTGCTTGTTCTATATTTTTTCCAGTTCAATACTGGACATCCTGAATTGTTATTCTATTCTCCCTACCATTTTTCATCTCCTTGTCTTTTGTTAAACTCTCTTTCAACTTTCTATTTATTTTTTAATTTTGAGTCATTACTTTCTTAAGTTTCCATAATTTCCTTTTGGTTATCAGAGTGTCAAGTTCTTGTTTTATGGATGAAATATCTTCTCATATCTCAGATAAAATTAATTCTATACTTTTGTTATAAGTTTCTTTTACTTGTTGAATTATTTTGGTTCTTCCGAGTTCCTTTTTTCTGTCTATTTTGATTATACTCTTTCACGCTGAGGCTTGAGTGTCTGGAAAATCTTTGGACATCCATTTGTGCTTAAGAGTGAGGTACTAAAACCTGCTTGGAGGCTCAGTGTGCATGTGGTTGGGGGCTGGTCACTGACGGGCTCCATAGTCACAGGGAAGTTTACCAGTATTTTCATGGGAGCTCCACATGAGGCATCTGGAGTCTTTCCTGGCGGATCTATTTTTCTCTAGGGCAGGCATTGGCAAGCTTTTTCTACAGGGCCCAGAGAGTAAATATTTTAGGCTTTGTGGGCCAGATGGTGTCTGTTGCTACTACTCAGCTCTCTTGTTGTGGCATAAAAGCAGCCATAGACAACTTGCAGATGAATGTGCGTGACTGTATTCTAATAAAATTTTATTTGCAAAAACAGACTGGAGTATGGTTTGGCCCACAGGTTGTAATTTGACAGTCACTTGCCTGTGGGTATATATGTTTGGCTCCTGGAGGCCTGAAAGCAGGGCTGGGGAGGGGCCAAGGGTCTGTTGGGGCTCAGAGCATGATACTCCAAAGTATGGCACTTTGGTGTGCTGAGTACTTTGAACTAAAGCAGACTGAAAGGGCCTAAGAAGCCAAGGCTTTCACTTTCTCTCATGCCCCTGTCTCCCATCCCTTTTTCTCCCCTGATGCAAGTCATAGAAACAAGAATTCTTTTTTTCCCAAGGTGGGTCATAGAAACTAGAATGCCTTTCCCACAAAGCAAGCCACAAAACCAGAAAGGTCACTGTCTCTCTTCTCCCTAGAAAAGCCTCATTCCAGAGAGGTCCTGTTCCCTACCCTGGAGGAAGGAACGCTACTCAGAGAGACGAAGAAGAATCTGAACAGACAGGCCTTGCTGGGTTTCCTCCCCCTACGCTGTCACCAGTAGATCACACCCTTTTGTCCAATCACATTTCTATGAGGCTGCCCATTCTTCATGGAACCTAAGCATAAAAACAGACAGTTTTCCCTGGGTCTTTGAGTCTTCGTTTCTGAACGCTTCTGTGTCATGTAAAACTTTGATGAAACATATGCGTTTATGCTTTTCTCTTGTTAACCTCTTGTGATAGCAGTGTTGGCCACAATCCTTATGGTGGATGAGGAGAGGTATCCCCCTTTCCATCCCTACAGGCCTCACAGTTCAGTGTGTAGAGCATTCATTAATTCTCTTGTTTTCAGCTGGCCTCTTATGATATCTGATGTGCCTGTGTTCTGAGTGTATGTGGCTCAATTTCTTTCCAGAATAAACTTCCCATCTCCTGTGGTGGTGGTAGGTGGGAAAGATCGTTTCCTAGTGGGGCAGGAGATCTAGGGGTGCAAAGGCTCCTGAGACAGACTTGAGTGTTCCTCTGCTGTTAGCCCCATGCCTCATTCCTGCCTTCCACGGTCCCTGGTGCCTTCAAAAGCCAAGGCCAGGCTTTATTGGGAAAACTGGCTCACTTTGTCACATTATTTCTGCCCCCAGCATGTAGGTTAGAATGTTCTTCACTCTGTCCCTATGCACTTTGTTTCTTTTCTCTCTCTCTCTTTTTTAAGGTGGAGTTTTGCTCTTGTCCTCCAGGCTGGAGTGCAATGGCATGATCTCTGCTCACCGCAACCTCTGCCTTCTGGGTTCAAGTGATTCTCCCACCTCAGCCCCCCGAGTAGCTGGGATTACAGGCATGTGCCACCACACCAAGCTAATTTTGTGTTTTTAGTAAAGGTGGGGTTTCTCCATGTTGATCAGGCTGGTCTTGAACTCCCAACCTCAGGTGATCTGCCTGCCTCAGCCTCCCAAAGTGCTGGGATTACAGGTGTGAGCCACCGCACCCAAACCTGCACTTTTTTAAAAAAATTAAATTTTGAAATATTTCAGGCACATAGAAAGGTATAAAAATTGTAAGAAATCACCGTTGTACTCACTGATGAATTAAAAAAATAAAACATTACAAATAGAGACATGGGGGCCTGCGCTTATGTTCCCCAATTCTATAGAATTTGTATCTTGGACAAATATGTTGAAATTATTAACAAATAGTTTGTTAATCTTGTGGGTTAATGCCATTTTTGTTCCTTTAGTGACATGTTGCATTTGACGAAAGGGAGAAGGTGAACATATTTCTACAATATTGCCTTGGTTACACTGAGTGACTTTATTACAATTTACTTAATCATTTCCTTTACATTAGGCAGACTTTAAATATTTCTTTTTTAGTATACATAGTACTGTTGTAGAGTACCACTGTTCATACAGATGTTTTCTTTTTATCTTCTGGGTTATGTATTTAGAATTCACACCCACACGCAGAACTATTCGACCCAAAGGTGTGAATATTTTTATGCTTATTGATCCACAATAAAACTTTCCTTAAGCATTCCCAGCTCATGTGTCAGCAACTTCGCCCACAACAGCAAAGTCAGAGCCACAATTCCTACTATTCAATTGCAAAGGGCAAGTAAGGCCAATTAGCTTAATGCTGAACGCACAGAGAAATTAGTCAGAGGCTCCATCTCATGCTGCTGGAAATGTGACCCATGAACCAGCAGCACTGGCATAACCTGGGAGCCCATTAGCAACGCAGGATCTCAGGTCCCAGCCCAGGCCTCCTGAGTCAGAGTCTGCATTTTAATAGGATACCCCAGGTGATTCACATGCACATTCAAGTTTGAAAAGAAACACACCTCATTCCTCAATTTTGCAAAGGGTTCAGGACATGAGATGTTTTATTTATCAAATCAAAATGAAGAAGCCCCTAGTAAATCTGGTTGTGAAGATGGATGTACGTTTTCTGATACCTCGGAGCCTCCCCACTGTCCTGGGTGTAGACTGTGACCCAGTGGAGTAGAAGAAGCAGTGGTCACAGTTGAAAAGCGTTGGTTTGAGTTCTTGGTTGAGCCACTTAACTGAATCTTTGTCAAGTTCATCATATGTTATGTAATGGCCTTGTTGAGCACTCAGGACCACTGTGATAGTGGGAAGGCATCTCAAAAGAATCTTGACAATCCTCCACAAATATAAAACAGACAAGTGAAACCACGTGCACAGTAGAGGCACATCCTCTGTCCTATAGATCTCCTGCCAGGTATGCATCTTC